CCCTCTGCGGGGAAAGATCACTACGAGAGGACTTGTCTCTCTTCCGGCGAACCAAGTTCTTAATTGGCTCGTTACTAAAATCATCTCGGGGAGGACGAGGTGAATCACGGCGAGGAGATTGATCCCTCCGAGGAGAACGTGAGTCGCGGCGGTCGCGACGAGGAGTTAGTCTGAAGGAAGCAACAGATCGGGCTCCCTCGGTACTGCCATCATCAACCAGCAAGGTCCTCCTATAGTCCTTCTTGTCTATAGAAGTCGCGAGAAACTTTTTCTTCTCCTCGCAAGCCTCAGCCATCGGCTTGGAAAGCAACTTACGCTTGGCCGCAAGGGCCCGAGATGACATTCCCTGAGTCGAGGGAGGGGGAGGAATTTGGTGAAGATGACCAGGCGGACTCATCCTGAGTCTGTGGTTAGCCTCTAGGAATCGTTCAAGAGTGAAGGAATTCCAAAGGGTTTCCCCTTCAAGAATTATTTTGAAGAATTCGATGAACTCTTCAGATGGGAGATTGGAAGCGATGAAAGCTGCGAAATGAAACAACGGTGTTAGTCAATAAAGATAAAGAAACAACCGGGAAAGATACAGGCAACCTAATCACTACCGGGTTTCGCAGACCACTTCGAAGGGAGAAAATCTGCGAGATTTCCAATCGAAGCGGGAGTTTTCTTAATTAGAAACCAAGGATGATGCCAATTTTCATCCTTGTTCGGAAGATGTGAAATGATGTTCCTGTTGGCATTAGGATATGCTGAGAAGTACCCCGCTTTCTTCGATGAACTTCTCACACTCAGAAGCTCATTTAGTTCAGCAACTCCGATAACGTAACCGGCCTCCGCCGCGATTGTTATAATGCCGAGAATAGTACGAAGAAGATTGGGGGTTAATTAAGGAAGAGCGATTTCAAGAGCCGCTAGGTATAAAATTAGGGCTTCGGGAAGAGGAAAGGTCAGCCCGCAACCCTTGAAATAAATCTCATACACACAGAAGTAACCATCGCGATGGTTCTCTGGAGATTCTGTGGGGGAAGCTATTTGTGCTTCCGCCATAATTTCCGGCGGAATCCGGCAAAGCTCTCTCAATCGCTCGAGGGATTGAAGAGTACAAGTGGACCTATAGTGCGGACCGGCAATATCACCAGGGTGGGTGCACTCGTCGTTACTAGAACGCCTCTCGTCGAAAGACGGAGACTCGGGTCTATCGGAATCGGAAGTCATTGGGAAGAAAGAAGAATTCAAGATCCGGCGAAGAGGGGTTTTTGCGAAGGAACGAAGAGAGAGTTTTTTGATTAATGTACAAAAGTAAAAGAAGAGAGTAATGGTGAAAAGAAGTTACCTCAAGCTAATGATGAAACCGCCTCGGAAGTCGTGTGGGAAGTGGGAAGGTTTTTCCCGTTTTAATAGTAATTAAACAATATACGGTCATAATGGTGACAGATGTCACTCAGTTAAAAAAGGCTAGTGCCGAAATTAAAGGAGTGATGAGATTTTCGGCGGGAAATCAGAAAGATTCTCGAGCGCAATCTTTGGCTATTTGAGCATTTAAAGTCCTCCGAATTGGAATAGCACTTCGAAGAACTTGGGGGGCTAATTGTTGGTGTCGGATCCCGCACCAGAAGTACGAGACCAACCAAAGATTGCCACGTAGTCAAGATAATGGCCCATAAAGAATGAAGTACATTGGACCCAGGATTCAAAGGAACGCTCGAAGTGGCTGTCACCACTTCGAGAATCCGAAGTGATTACATTGCGACACGAGTTCGATGAAGAAGGCATGGGTAAGTCGGTTCAAGGACACTTGGGCCAAAAGAGGCGAGGCCCATGAAGATCAGAGTCAACTCAAATTCAAACGTTGAGCATTAAAGCCGAAGAATCAAAACGGACACATTTAAGAAGAAATAATTGTACTTAATTACTCATTTTAATGTCGTTTATCTATGTATAAATATAGAGGTCAATGGCCATGTAAAAGGGGATCTTCCTCTCAAGAGAGAAATTCTATAGCAATTTTCGTATCAATTTATAAGTTTTTACATATTCATTTTTGTCCCTCAAGAATAATCTTGCCCACTTAACAAAATACTTGAGTGTGTGAATCCGACATCCACAGATGACCTTATGATTTTTGCAGAGGGGACAAAGAGATCAGTGGAGGGTGTTATCACGATCTTTGATAAGTTTGCGAGTATTTCTGGCCTGAAAATAAGCTTGGAGAAATCTACCTTATACATGGCTGGGATACAACAAAGCACGCAGGAAGAGATTTTGCAAAACTTTCCATTTGAGGCAGGCTCTCTACCAGTGCGGTATCTCGGGCTGCCGCTAATGACCAAAGCAATGACAAGCAACGACTACCTACCTTTAATCGAGAAGATAAGGAACAGAATCAGTACATGGACAAGCAGATTTTTGTCGTATGGGGGAAGACTGCAGCTCATAAAGTCAGTTCTTATGAGTATCACAAACTTATGGTCGTCGGCGTTTCGGTTGCCGGGAAAGTGTATGAAAGAGGTAGAACGACTTTGCTCCGCTTTTCTGTGGAGTGGCCCAGATTTGAAATCGCATAACGCGAAGATAGCATGGCAAGTAGTTTGTCTTCCTAAAGGTGAAGGAGGCTTAGGTCTCAGACCTCTAAAGGAGACAAATATAGTTTCTGGTCTAAAATTAATCTGGAGACTGCTTGCAACCAAGACTTCCTTATAGGGGCAGTGGATTCATAAATCACTAATCCGAAATAAATCATTTTGGGACATCCGTGAGTCATCTCAGCAGGGTTCATGGATGTGGAGAAAGATTCTCAAGCTCAGGGAGACATCAAAAAATCTCCACAAAATGGAAATCAAAAGTGGAAGAAACACTTCATTTTGGCATGACAGATGGTCTTCCATGGGGAGAATGGCAGACCTGCTCGGGGATAGAGGTTGTATTGATCTCGGGATCACGAAAAACTCAACGGTGGAAACAGTTCTAACCACTCATCGGAGAAGAAGACATCGAGTGGACATTTTGAACAGAATTGAAGCAGAGATTGAAGGAGCAAAATCGAAACAGAGAAATGAGGTTGATGATGTACACCTATGGAAGTGTCGGGCTGGTTTCAAACGCAAGTTCCTAACATGTGAAACGTGGAGACTTATTCGAACCGAGAAACCTGCTTGTGAATGGGCAAAAGCCGTGTGGTTTTTGCAAGCCACACCAAAGTTTGCGTTCATAACTTGGTTAGGAATGCATAATAGACTTCCTACGGGCGACCGGATGTTGAAATGGAATCAAGGGGCAGACACTTCTTGTGTTTTCTGTCAAAACCCGGTGGAGTCAAGGAATCACATTTTCTTTCACTGCAGCTACTCACATCAGATTTGGAAAACACTTACTAAAGGGCTCCTTGGGAACCACTTCACATCAGATTGGGAACTACTTAGATCGTTAATCTTCGGCACTGCTCTTGAAAAACGCTACTTGTTGCTCCTAAGATACTCGTTTCAAGCCACGGTTCACTCCATATGGAGAGAACGCAACAATCGTAGACACGGTGAAGACCACATCCCAGCTCCTCGCCTTGGCCAAATGATAGAGAAAACCATTCGGAACAAGATCTCTCTCCTCCGCTGCTCGGGGAATCAGAAGTACCAAGACCTCCTCATTATTTGGTTCTCTACTCGAACTTAAGTTTGTAAACAAATGCCAAATCTATCACCTTCAAAACTGAAGCACTTGATGTAACACTTGTTTTTTTGATGAATAAATTTTACATTCATTCAAAAAAAAAAAAAGTCAGCTTGATTAGCTACGGAGAAAGAGAGCTTATTTAGTAATTAAATTCTGTCTTATGTTGATTAATTAATTAACTTTACTAGGTGAAATACATGCTGTACGTCATAGGTCTTTCTATATATAGGGTGTATATAATTTGAGATTTATGTTGCGAATGCTAGCTACAATGCTATAATATAAAATCAACATTCAAAAGAATAACTGTCAAGAAAAATGTGGATTAACACGTCTCTGTAACCCCATCAAAAATTTCATTACATGTCTCTACTCTAGTGTATACTTTGACAAAATACTCCACGATATTTTTTTCATGGTTCAATGTTAAAACATGTTGCACACTTTTCAGTCCTTAATATATCCAAAGATTACAAAAGACACAAATATCCTAAAAATCCTCAAGACCATTAAATATATTTGCTAATAATGTAAATATCCTATAAATCCTGAAGACCATTAAATATATTTGCCAACATCCTCAAGATTATAGACCAATCACATTTTCAAACTAAACAAATTACATTTTTCACTAAAAGACTAATCCTATCAAAAACAAAAGATTTAATTTTCCCAAAATGTTAAAAACTTAGAGCATCAGCAACGGTCGTACCTAGCAAGTCTCTAACGATTAAAATATAAGGAAAAATGGAAAAAGGAAGAGAGAGTGATAGAGGCGTTTCTTGTTTTAGGTACTCATAAAAAACGTTTTTTACACATGTTTTTTTACAATTAGTCTAGTTGAAATACTTTTTAATAAATTATTAATATAATGTGAGTTCACACATAAAATTGTATTCACACGGAAAAGAGAAACTCAAATTAAGAGACGGAACGTTGGGCTTGCTCTTAGAGACCCCCGAAAGATCACAACATCATGCAGTAGTAACATGATTCATCTACTGTATATGGGATTATATAAATACGCTTTCATTGACAAAGTTCTATAGTAACTTAGTAAGTATAGAGCTTCAAGCATCTAACGTGTATGAAGCAAACTCATAGGTATCCATGAATTTCAATGAGTAATTAACCTTAACAAACTTCCATGAATTAGAGTCAAGATTGTAGATCTCAAACTCATAAAATAGTTTATTTCAATCATATCGTAAGTATCCAAAAATCTCAAAATTTGGTGGCTTGGACGCGATTTGTTCTTTATTTGGGAAATTGAGAGAAGGCTTATTACATTTTGACAAATATTTTCCGTCGATGTTGTAGGGTTTTGGTTCATGGGTATATTCTGCCACATTTTGACTATACCATGTTAATTTGAAGAGAGGAGTCATATTGATTCTAGTAAGCCTCTGTAGTTTTTTCGTCTGCTTTCAAGCTCACGTATTGCAAAAACATGGTATATATGAAATCAATTTTTTTTTTTTTTTCACGTGAAACAGAGAGCAATTGCATCATGCATAACAATACTAATAACAATTAGCAGTGCTAAAAGAGAGTTTCCAAGTAAAAAGTCCAGGAAGCATTTTGGACGGTTTCAAATAAATATTGGAAGAGCCAACGAGACAGTGTTGAGAAACCAGATAACAGATTACACTAATGTTCGACATATGAATTAATGAACGAAGTTTACCAAAAAGAAAACAGTAAAAAACATAGATAGATTATGCTTTGCACTGAGCTTACTTGATTTGCACTGAGCTTGGAACATATGAGCACACAAGTTGGCAACCATTTTTGTCTGTAGATTCTCCAAAAACCACTGTTTCAAAATACCCATCTTCTCCATAACAATAAGCTACGTTGCGCATCTTCGTCTCTTTGTCTTTAGCAAAAACCATAACAACTTTCTTCTCCTCGTCAACAAAAAAACTCTCATGTTGATCATAAGTAAGAAGTGTTTTCTTATCCACCACTAAGAACAACATGCTCCAGGACGCCGCTTCAGGCTCAATGTTAGACGTAATCCATATCTCCATCTGTAATGTACCCTTGCGCTGAAATAACACAGCAAGCTGCTCATCTCTAACACTAGATAGAGTCACACTATCGACCATACTAGAGTGAGACGGTAGACTAAGACGCGGACCAAATCTCTCAGTTGTAAAATCAAAACAAATTAAAAAAAACTCACGGTTCTCTATTGCCGAATTTTGGCGCCTTCGAGCACAACAAAGACACCCGCCGGAGTAAGTAATACTAGTATTATTTTTAGCAAGCCAGTAAGTATTTCCCTTGAGAGACACGCCACATTTATAAAACCGCATGTAGAAGTTGGGGGAGGTTACAAAGCCCTTATTTCAACAGACTGTTAACCACAAGCGGTAGAGAGGTCCCCCACTTCGATTCCCGCCCCGTTCTTTAGAATACCTTTTCCTTTGTACAGCTTTCCTTGCTCGAATATGAGGAAAGGAGGGCATTCACGGAACTAGTTTCCCTGGTCCCCCCGTCGGGAATGGGGGCTTCTAAACCTTGCCTTGCTCATGCTATTTGGGATCCTCATTTTGGTCAACCGGCTGTGGAAGCGTTTACTCGAGGAGGTGCTCTTCGGACCATCTTTCCTAGTATCATCTCGATGTTCAATTTTCATAGTTGTTATTCCTTAATTCTGTTCCCCTTGGCAGTGAGAGTAATATCCTTCCATGAATTAGAGTTAAAATTGTAGATTTCAAACTTAAAACTTCTGAATTCCCCCCTATATCCATTACCTACAAATCCCAAGATTTTTTCAATAGATCTCAAGATTTTGAGACTACGATGCGAGTTCTTATCCTTCTTCTCGTATCCCAGAGCGAACGAGTACCTGATGAAACCGAAGTCGTCACGATAAGTAGTTTCGATCCACCTTGTTTTCCCACGATAAGGGTTCCAAACCACAAGCCTCGGTGTTTTATCTTTGGTGGTGCATAACAACAAACCGCTACAGTGGAAGACGCTAGATATATCAACTCCACCATCTACATTGTTTAGGCTAATCAGTTTACCTTTTCGGTTTATAGCGTTGTAGTCATCGTCCTTGTGAATTCCAACACTAATTAGGTAGACACTAGAATCCATCATCATGATCGCCAGAAACTCTTTCTTCTTCGTTTCTGATCTTGATTTACGGATGTGCTTCTTTGTAAAGCTCCGATGTTTGGATAAACTGTTCCACTTTTTGCAAGTAGTTCGCACTGCTCTAAGAGATGTCAACGGAACACTAGAGAGCACTTCCTCTACCACATCTTGTGGCAGATCGGACATCGCCGTTGTTGAATCTCTCATCTCCAAGTTAGGTCAAAGCTTCGACAACTCTTTTCGTACCTTCCGGCTCTATATAGTGAACACGTCTCGTTGAAGACATAAAAACCTGATGGGCCAATACTGGGCTTGTGAATCTTAGTGGGCTTCTTAATGTGTGCCAAGACATTAGTGTAGAATGATTTTTTTTTGAGACAGCTGTCTCTTTTGAGAGAGACTTTGCAAGACAAGAGAGATGATGACGTGTCATGTTTTTATTGGCTGGTTTCTTTTGACAAAACAGAAGAAAAAAAAACGCGTAAAAAAACACTTTGCCTTTTTGGATTTTTCCGACTCACTCTCCTTCTTTAGGCGAGACGATGGAGATGGAGAGTGAGAGTGAAATTAACGGCAAATTCAAAATTAATCCGATGATTCTATTTATTGAGAGTGAAATTAACAACGGCAAAATTGTGGTGTCTGAGAGGCCCGTAAAAATGTCGAACGTGCATTTGGAGTATTGCAAGCTCGCTTTCATATTATTAAAAAACCCAGCTCTTGTTTGGGATAAATAAAAAATTGTAAATATTATGAAAGCATGTATCATACTGCACAATATGATAGTCAAAGACGAACGAGATGGGTACAATACTTAGTTTGATGTTTCAGAATTGAACCAGACGTGATCCTAGGTTTTTGGTATTGAAACATCTTTCAAATCACCAAACGATACTAATGACTCTATCTACGGATTAACCAAACTCTAGATGACTATCAGATAGATCAAAGCTCCAGGTGCTTGAAGTGATACTCATCGATTTTCAAGTATATTAGACCATTTCCTTCAACTGAATGAATAACGCCCCTACTAACACACCAAGAAATTATTAAATACAAAACAAACAACATGAAGAAAAAAAAATACAATAGAAGTCGACAATAGCTATAGCTTACGACCGGATGTTAAAGATGCAATCGAATTTAATTACTTTACCATACCTTAATATAAAAATCAAAACCCTAATCTTATATAAAATATAGTTTTCAAAGTCAGTAACTCACAGGATCGTGTCATGTGTTAAATTTATCGATCTAAGATTTTGACATGTGTAAAACAAAATTTTCTTTTTATTTATTTTAAACAATTATAAGGAAACTATACGCACATGGCAGATTTTAACATGTGTAAAAGAAAAATTTTCTTTTATTTATTTTTAAACAAATCATAAGAAATTATACGTATATATCTTATTATATAAATACAAAAAGATAAATATATAAACAAATCTTCTCTCTAATAAAAAATTATCTTCTTCTTTTAAATATAGTTTCTATTCACAACAAAAATTTAATATATCTTTTTATTAAATTTAATTTTATTTAAAAGATTTAAAACCCGCACATCGAGCGGATCCTAACCTAGTAAAATATATAATTTAAAGTCAAATTAGGTTAATGGCAAACAAAAAATATAAGATTACCTCTCCATTGTACGTTCAATCTTTTAGTCGCCTAAAACTGAAATTCAAAAGATAGTAGGGGTTAGATAAAAGCTTACCTCCTCTAAGGATGAGATTCAACTTTTTATCCTAGACTTTGATCCATGAAAAAAAATATTGTAATAATGTAAATTATAGACTCATAAGGTAATTTGACACATAATTCAAAAAATTACTTGCACGTCTGTTGTGACTTTCTCCACATCGATTCATACATTAACTTCCACACATCCAATTTGAGATTGAATGTAAAGACCATTATTTTTATGAAACTGTAATCAATTTGATCATCAGAAAAAAAAAATACAAAATTAAAAAAAAAAAAAACGCTAAAAAAACCAAAACATAAGCACTACCAAAGATGTATACTACGACTCATCGATCTTGGCGTTTCTGATTAGGTTCTATTATATGAAACTGTTGAGTTTGAAAACTAACCTCTTTTTCTTCATCATAAATTGAAATTTCTAACCAAATCCAAAAAAAAACACACACAAAACATCAGACGCGATGAGAGACTACTAATAATCAATATCCAACACGAAGTTATAAAATTGAAAGTAAATTATGAAGAGGCACAACTAATTTAAAAAGGACTAACAATTGATGTAAAAAGTTTGTTTATGAATTTAATTGAAGAGGCATGTCTTCATCAACTCGTTCATTCAATCCTTTGACAGAAACTCCCATGAGCGGTTACCTAAAACACAATTCAAATGATACAAATCAGCAAAGAAAATGTCGATATTCATCCGTAGAACAACAAATTAAAATAACAATACAAATATAACCTCAGCAGGAAATAAAAAATCATAACGCATGATAAGAAATTCGATTCATATAAATAACCAAAGTAATATAAAACAAACCATAATATCATAACTATATATTTATTATTTATAGATGACAAATCCGATTGATATTGGTGTGACCGAGGCCCTATATTTATAGCTTAATATTTAGGGTAGACCATCATAATTATCTATGGAAATTTTACCTTTTTAAATTAAGATTTTCTTGATACAAATATTTATGTATATGATGAATGTGATTTAACATACATGGACGATTTAACATTTCATTGTGTTTGGAATATAACATTTAATCTCAGAACCATATTAACATATAATTACGTTCGTGAGGAAGTCTAGCATTGAAATTTACCAAAAAAAAATTTGTTATTTCCATATGTTATTTTTGAAAAGTTAACATTTTTATTTTTTATATATATATATATTGTTTTTTTCCTTTTTTCATAAGTATTTCAATATAGAAACTAATAATAATTCAAAAAATGTAAATTAACGTGGTGTATAAAAATGTTAATTGATGAGATGTCCAACCGCGATTGGTCGTTTAAAATCCTAGTAGACAGCCTCAAAAGTTTATAGCTTCGACTTTTATATAGTATAGATTGCAGAGCCAAGTATCTCGTATTTCTCACGAGAAATCTCGCTCCAACGAAAACTAGCCGAGATGATCGCAGATAGCGAGACCACGTCATTCCCCCTAACAAGGCAACAACATGTGGCGGACGCCAGTAAAACTCTGCTCAATTCACTTCAATTCTATTTTTGGAATCCGCGTGACGTAATCCACCTAAGGGTGTATAATCCACTACTTTGCAGTCCACTGTAAAATGCATCTAAAACATGACACGTGTTAATACAAGTCAGATACGGAGAATACTCTTGGATCCCACATCTGCTTTCGGTGGGCTCAACCGCATGAGATAAAAGCCTTTAGCTAAGGGATCAGACCAAACAGTCTAGACAAACGAGGTTATCAACTTATTCAATAATCAAAACTACTTATCAATGATAAGCAAAACAACTTATCAAACTACAGTTCTATGTGACAAAACGCATCGAAGAAAGTGGAGAACAAGTCGTACTTTTTTCTTTTTTTCTTTTTCTTAGAAAATATATAAATAGAAATTTCTACTATCTCTGGGGTCAGCTTTTCTTCATTTTCGCTTTGCGACGCGAGGAAATGCAACCTTGAAACCCTAGAAAACCATTCCAACTACGACTAAATCGATTTCACAAACTTTGACCTACCCTTCTTTCACCATAAACCCAGATCGCTTTAATTCCTTGAATTTCTAGCAAAAATGTCGTCTTTGAGCAGAGAGTTAGTTTTCTTAATCCTCCAGTTCTTAGATGAGGAGAAGTTCAAGGAATCTGTTCACAAGTAAGTCTTTTTGTTTGTGGTGCTTATTATTCAACGGTTCTTTGGTTTATTTTGCGTAATTTTGATGTTTGGATAAATTGGAATTGGTTGATGTGTAGGCTAGAGCAAGAATCTGGCTTCTTTTTTAATATTAAGTACTTTGAAGAGAAAGCTCTTGCTGGAGAGTGGGACGAAGTGGAGAAGTATCTTTCTGGTTTTACTAAAGTCGATGATAATCGTTACTCTATGAAAATCTTCTTTGAGATTAGGAAGCAAAAGTATCTTGAAGCTCTAGATCGGTAATGATTTTCTTGGTTTTATCTGTTGTTTGCTTGATTATTTAGACTGGTGTTCTTGATTTGATACATTTGTGTGTATTACAGAAATGACAGAGCAAAAGCTGTTGAGATATTAGCCAAAGACTTGAAAGTTTTCGCGACGTTTAACGAGGAGCTTTACAAGGAGATTACTCAGCTGCTAACTCTGGAGAATTTTAGGTAATTTTTGTTTTGCTTTGATGTAATTGAATTTCGAAAGGTAGTTACTTGAGTGTTGAAGAGTTTGTTTTTGTTGTGTGTTTCCATAGGGAAAATGAGCAATTGTCTAAATATGGTGATACGAAATCAGCGAGGTCTATAATGTATACTGAGTTGAAGAAATTGATTGAGGCAAATCCTCTGTTTCGAGAGAAGCTAGCCTTCCCCAGTTTCAAAGCTTCTCGCCTGCGAACTTTGATCAATCAAAGGTGAACTAAGAGGAGTCATTTTTCTTCCTTTTCTTTTTATGATAGAGATGAGTTTAAGTGTGTGACATGTGTGTTTGGGATATTGCAGCTTAAACTGGCAGCACCAGCTATGTAAAAATCCAAGGCCTAATCCTGACATCAAGACATTGTTCTTGGATCACTCTTGCTCACCATCAAATGGTGCTCGTGCTCTCACTCCTGTGAATCTTCCAGTTGCTGCTGTTGCAAGACCTTCAAACTTTGTTCCTCTTGGAGTACATGGTGGAGTAGGATCACTTCCTAACTTCCACCCATTCTATTATAACTTAATGTTCAGATTTTGAGGGTTGATGAAACCATTGTATCTGTGCAGCCGTTTCAACCTAGCCCTGCCCCGGCTCCTAATGCCAATGCTTTAGCTGGATGGATGGCAAACCCAAATCCTTCTTCATCAGTTCCATCCGGTGTCGTCGCTGCTTCCCCATTTCCTATGCAGCCAAGTCAAGGTATGATTTATGTTACAACTTACAAGTGTTTGGATATTACGGTATCTTTGGTTTTTTTATTTATTTGTGATATTAGAGTTCGAACCTGAAATCCTGTTACTGTATTTCGTCACAACAGTTAATGTGTTGAAACACCCTCGGGCAC